CACACACACACACACACACACACACCCCTCACCCCCACACACAGGAAACAGGGGATCAGTACATGCCAACATAAAACCTACAGGAACCCTTATGTTTACCTTAAATGCCACACTTCTAGAGCAGTAAGCAGATCTGCTTTTACTTGATCTACAACCGACCTTTAATCAAAATGTAAACCAGTCAAACACACTGTACAGTTTATTAACACACACCCTCATCTAAGATAAACATGCACTGATCATAATTCCTTCATAGTTTACTTTTAGATCCAAATCATCTGTCCTAATTACCCCCTAACCTTTTATCTAACATTAGTAGAAGAATGCATACCCTGAGTCACTGCATATATGTGCGGGGAAAAAAATAGGGGTCGGGAGGTTTTACTAGGATATCAGGAATAATTAAACATGTAGACTGTGTCAGCATGAGGCTTGAATGATGATCTTAGATTGGTTTGAAGGCAAAGACAAATGAATGTATGATAAACGGACGTGTGCAAACATCGGAGAAGTGGGTGCCACTGAAGTCCTTAGCAGGCTGTGGTGAGAGCAACACGAGATAATGTAGCAGAGAGCTTGAGAAGCGGATGGACATGAAGGCACAATGGGCTGGAAGCTCGTGCATGCAGTAGCTTTAGATTTATGAAGAGCTGATACAGTGGCCTGGCCTCTTATCAAGACAGGTAATGCCAGCTATTTATAGATAATCTATGTATTGAGCACAGATGAGCCTCTGCTATAACTGTATATCAGATCTAACAAGAGTGGTGAGCATTTTTGTGCGTTTGATCAGATCTGAGGCTGGATCTTTCTGTGCATCCCATGTCTTTTATTTTTCTTGACTGAGTTCCATGTTTTAGCTGTGTTGGCACTTTGCCATTTTCTTTCTTATCTTTTTTAACAGGGTTTCAAATGCATTTTAAATCTTACATGAAGTAGAAACCCATACATGCTATTATTTTGCAGGAAATCCAAAGAAAACACACTTGATTATTACAATACATATGAGGGAACCTGTGTTTAAATAATTCAGAAAGATTATGCTTCCTGAGTATAACTGCAAGAAAAGCATTGAATCTGGTTACATTTTGGAGTTTAAGCTAGTAGGCTTTTTGGTGATTGTAACCTACAATCACCTGCTGTACCTACACAGACAGAAAGAGAATCAAAGCTCAAATTAACATGTTATGGTGT